CATTCATCCTAGTATTTAATAGGGACACTCGACTGCAACATCAAAGTTGTAGAGATTCGCATTAAAGTTCTATGTTTTCTTTCTACAATTCCATTTTGCTCTGGGGTGTAAGGATAAGAAGTTTCATGTATAATGGCCTTTTCTCTTAGGAAAAGTCTAAAGTCTTGGTTAACAAACTCTGTACCATTATCACTCCTCACCTTTTTTATATTAACTGAAAATTGATTATTAATGTACACAAAAAAATTCTAAAAGTAACTTATGGTGTCAAACTTATGTTTCATTAAGAAGATCTATGTGGCACAAGAATAATCATCAACAAGCATAAGGAAATATTGATGTCCTTGATGTGTAAGCGTCCTATATGGGCCCCATACATCCATCTGTATTAGTTCAAAACAGGAGTGAGTTTTAATATAGCTAGTAGAAAAAGGCAGTTTAGTTTGTTTTGACTAAATGCAAATTTCACATTCTTTATTCAATGAAACATTTTTGTTCCTTACAATGTTCAGATGTCTCATTACAAAAATAGGAGCATGTCCTAGTCTATTGTGTAACAACCAAATGTCAACAAAATTGAAGGTACAATTGTGAGCAAAATGCATTATAGCAAAATGTCTATTAGTTTCTAAAATTTATAGTCCTTCCATTAGTTTACCAGTCCCCTCCAATCTCCCATCTTGAAGGTCTTGCATTATACAATAATTAGGAAAGAAAGCAACCATGCAGTTTTGTTCTCTAGTAAGTTTAGGAATAGAGATGAGATTGAATTGCAACCATTTAGAGTATAGCATATTTTCTAGAATAATTTCATCAGAGAGTTTGACAGTACCAACATGAGTAACAACTACTCATTCACCATTAGGAATTTTAATGTTTTTAATAGGGCCATCATTCAGTGTATATGTATCAAACAGTAAAGAATCTCCTATCATATGTGTAGTGGCCCCTGAGTCAACAACCCATTTAGTGGTATATGTATATTTGTGATTAGAAGATATAAGCAAACCTGTACCAGTACTAGTAAGAGCATGCACGATTGTGTCTGAGTCCTTTTTTAGAAACTCCAAGAGTCTTTGATATTGTTCCCGGGTAAATGAAGGGGAGACTGTGTCTGAAGGAAGTTTATCACTATCTTTTCCTGCTTTGATTCTTGTCTGGTTAGCACTGGCATCTTAAGGCTACTTTCCTTTGTTCCCTTTGAAGTTAGGAGGGTATCCAACCAATTGCCGGCAGATGTCCTTTGTATGACCTTTCTTGTGGCAATATGTGCATTCAAATATGGGGCCTCCTTTGCCTCTGCCTCTCCTGCATCCTCTCCCCCTGGCTGCCATAGCCATTTAATCTACTGGCAAATTTTTAGAAGAGTTAGCAATAACATGTTGGGCTTCATCTTCAAAAATCATTGCAAAAGCCTGATTAACTATGGAAAGGGGATGCATTAGTAGGATTTGACTTATGGCCGACGAGTAATAGTCATTTAGGCCCGTAAGGAACTATAACAGTTTCTGCTGTTGAAGTATCTCAAAGTAGGCTTTTGATGTTGGACACTTGCAAGAGGGTATAGGAACCAAACATCGCTTGTTCTTCCAAAAGTTCCTTTAATTTGGAGTAATACACAGAGGCAAACAATGACCCTTGATGTAAAGAAGCAGGTTTTCGATGAAGAGAGAAGATCCCAGAGCTAGTAACCTTATCAAACCTTTCTTGTAAATCAGCCCACAGCAAGTGAGCCTCTTGAAAGAAAATAAGACCACTCACTATGTCTGGGGAGATGGAGTTCAACAACCAGGATAAGACCACCGCATTGCGACACTCCCACTGCCCGTAGAAGCGTTCATCTTGAGATGTTTTGGTGCAGGATCTATCGATAAAACCGAGTTTATGTTTGCCTCGCAATGCTATTTTCATAACACGACTCCAAATTAGGTAGTTCTCACAACCGATCAAGACATAGGGAATAATGGTAGAACCTTGTGTGTCAAAAGGATGGAGGAACAAAGGATGGTGAAAGTTAATGGATGCATCGATGGCATCTTTAGAGGTCATCTTCTCCGTTATTATGGAGAGTAGCAATTTGAACAAGCAAAATAGAAATTATATCATGGTGAACAGAAGAAAAACTTGCAATCTTGGCAAGAACAAGAAAGATAGACAAGAAAGCTTGGGAACATGAAAAAAGATAGAGTCTTGTGGGTGCATAATTCGGCTATGGCAGAAGGGGGAAGATTTCTAACGTCATGATGTTAAACAATCTAGAAGGGACTGAGTTGTTTGTCCTGTCTCGTTTGTGGTAGGCCTCTGTTCAACAGATGGCTCGTTGAGGGTACTCTTGATGGTGGACCTGTACCATTGGGTGATGGACACCTTGATCGTGGATGGCTCTAATGCCATGAAAGCTCATAAAGCTTAAACCCAGGTTCAGGAGAATTGAAAACTATTATTGAACATGAAAGATAGTCCATACACAAAAGAAGGATCAAAGAGTGATCCAATATTTATACAGAGTGAACAATGAATGTGGGCTTAAGCCCAATAACCCAAATAGCCTATCTACGCTTATTCTTACAGATAGGTGAACGAACACTTTGGGTAGGATGGTGGTAGATCAAAGTGAAGGTAACACAGTCACTGTCACTGTACTCCCCCTCCTGTGTCCGCTCGAAATTATTGTCACCTCTATGCTCTATCTTCACAAGCTTCAGGTACCCTTTCTTCTGCTCATACATCCCTCTTATTCTGCTCAAGTTTTTCTCCATTTGTTTGGAACCAAGCACACTATAGTTGAATTTTGGCACTGAAACCTTTCAAGTTTTGATCCCACTGTTGGGTATTTAAAGCTACTTTTGTTATAACATATTCTTAATTATGTGTTGAAATCTTTGGTGCTCAGATTTTCATCTTTGTTATTAGACGGATGATGACGAGCTGCTATTGATGGAAGTATAGAATCCAAATTCTGTGCATTTGTTACCTTGAGTTGGCAGTTCCCATTCCTTTCAGTAAAATAGAGCCTTCCTTCTTTATTTTTGGTTTTAATTTTTCTTATTTTGTGGCAAGTTCTATGAAGGGATATAAATTTTTTATGTTTATACTCTTTTAAGTTGTTTATACTGTGTATTATGCTTCTTTCGATCTTGTTGAGATTGTTTAGTTTGTATTTTGCATTTAGCTTTGCTTGTTGAGAATTTAGAAATTCTAATTGGATTAAAAAGTTCAAAAAAGAAGAAGCTCAAAACCCATTAAAAAACTAAAAACCGAACTGAAATATTTTGATTAATTTTGTTCGTTAATCTCCATTAATTGGTTTTGGCTCAGTTACAAAATTAATCCAATTCGTTTTTTTGATTTTTTTCAGTGTTTACTGAAAATCGAACTGAAGCCCGAATACTTACCCTTAATCACTAGAATACAATGACAATAGAGCAAAATTTATTTTCCTCTGTATATTTCACAAAATCCATAGTATTAACTACTATTAAATGTCATATACGTATTTTAATTTTGATACTAATGACAACAAATACTAAGTATACCGGCCAAAAAAAAAGTTTGATTGGAAAATTTAACTTATGAATATAAACAATTTAATCGAGTTTTGTTTTATAAAAAAATGTCTAAAAGTAATCAAAAGTTGTTCGGTCCAAAAGAAGTCACTATATAATTTATAATTTTATTCCTAATTTATTTTTTGGAAGTAGGAATAAAATTGAAGAATTATCATTAAATTTTAATACAAAATTAATAAAAATTACAGTTTTTTTTTAGGTTTTTGATAAAATTTGGTGAAAATATCTTATAAATAAGATAAAACCAATTCACTCAACCAACATAAACAATTTCACATGATCCAAAATTTCATATGCATGAATATAATATTTATATATTAGTATTATTTACAAGAAAGCAACAAGGGCTTTTATAAAAATATATTCTTGTAGCCAATTAATGGGATTAGGGGATAAGCATCCTTGGTCAACATCAAATTTTATGGTGTATAAAATAAATATATGAGATGAGTTTTGTTTCGACTTGAGTAAAAACACTTTTTAAGAGTGTTTTTTGTATTTACCAAATACCCCTTAAATTTTACCCAAGTGCCTGCGCTTTGTAATCTAACATGTCCCGCCTCAAGGTTGTGTATAATGTATTGAGCAACTCTATGAAGGGAATGAAAAATACTTTTTCTTGTTGATCCTCTTTTTTTTTTTATTCTTCTCTATTTCTTCTTTATTTATAACAATTAAATCTGTTTTGTGGTTTTTATAATTATTGGATACCACTTGAAATCAATTTAAAAAATACTTGCATGCGATTCAAAATAAAACTCATCTTATAATACCTCGTATTCAGTAAAATCATTTATAAAACGCGAATCCAAATACTCCCTAAAAAGAAAAATAAGTCAAATTGTTTAGGGAGAATTACAATGAGATTCTGAGAAAAGAAAATAATTACCAATAAATCTAATGATAAGTGATCAGTTGTCATTTATTACTTTAAACCTCGTTATTACATACTGCCCTATCATTATTCATTATCACTAAATCTTTTAATAATTATGGTTTTTACTTAAAATTTCATAACAATTCTTCCAATTGTCCTAGTGTGAGAGATCTATATAAATTTGAGACATATAAAAGTTAGGCGCTTCCATTTGTGGCTCTGTTGCTACTTTTGTAGAAGCAATCGTTGAGTGCTGATTTTCTAGGAAGACCCTCCCCTTCCTTCAATCTTACCTCTTTTCGGCTCGTTTAGAACTTGAGCTTGAGCAGCCAAATTTCAATTTGGTTTGAAAGTGAAGGAAGAGATTTGGAGGAGGAAAATTACAAAAAAAGTTTTTTAAACAAAAATGTATTTTTAGTAGACTAACTTTATAGAAATTTTAGTTTTGTATTTAACATAATAATATATTAGCAAAATCTCATAAAAATATCACTTGAATTTTAAAATTACAAATAAGTTTTATTTCGTACACTTTAGGCTAAATTGTACAAAACTCTCCTAACTTTCTTCATAGTATTTTAAAGTTTAAATTTAGCACTTTAACCTTTTTTTTTTTTTTGGTCACGAATCCCTTGTTATTGTCTTATTGGGTGGCCGTTATGTTTTTGGTGGAAAATATCCCGTCAAATCAATAGAAGACATGCGATATCATTCATAACATCTTTTGTAAGTTAATAATTTTAGAAAACCCCCGTCAATTTTAAGTCAATTGCATAAAATCCCACATAACTTTAAAATATTAAATGTAAATTTTGTAATGTCAAAAGAGCCATGTACAACGAATCTAAAGTTCAAGGGGTACGGTTTTTATAAAATTTACATAAAATACTATGTAGGATGCCACATGTCTTTTATTGATTTGACGTAACAATTTATGTCAAAAAAATAATGGCCACTTAAACGATTAAATTTAAATTTTGAAATGTTATGGAGGTTAGGTGCAATCAACCCAAAATTTATGTCATTGATTATGCTTGGTAAACAAATAATAACATATTTTCTGTAAGGATTTTTAATTTAAAATTTTAAAATTCAAGTGGTATTTTTTGTGAAATTTTTCCTAATATATATTGTCGCTAGAAACCTTGTCCGTAGCTGGCCGCTGTAGGTGATTCGCCGCCAGCACCGGCGGGGTTTCGATGCTGAACACCGGTGAGGTGAGGATTAGTTGGATGAATTTTTCTTGAGAAAGAAAATGGAGGTGGGATTTGATTAAACGAAAAAAGAAAAACTGAAACTGGCCAACTCTCATACAATCTTACTGACAAAGCACCTTACCAAAAAAAAAAAATCTTACTGACAAAGCATGCGCAATAAAATTTTTTTTTTGAAAAATAGAATATAGCATGTACAAAATAATATTTTTTAATAAAAAATTCCAGGGGTTGAATTTACATATTATCACAGAAACAGTTAGATTTAAAAACTAAAAATTAAACTGAAAATTTATTTATTCATTAACTCAAGAAATAATAACGACCCATTTGATACACACACATATGATGCACATCATAATGGAGCTGCTTGCCTTGAGCAGCAAGAGAATACTTGAATGACAAGCTCCTGATAGCTTACACGCAAATTATAAAATGCTACCACTTCTTAAATATAGAACTTGGATCCCAAAAAAAAAATTCTGTTTTCAAATATAAGATTTTAATTGATTTTGATCTTTAAATTTATACTTTTTCAAAAAAAACCCGAATATTAATTTACTATGTTACGAGAGAGTAGCATCTTTCTCTAAACCCAATTCCTCTTAATTTACCAGAGTGCGGGCTTTATTAGATTATGTATAAATAGATATATGAATTTTAAAAAATTATAAGATTTATAAATTATAAATAATACAACTCTTTTTCTTTAAAAAGTTTCATACGATATGCAAGACCTATATCTAATTAATTTACAAAGGAAATTTCTTATATTGTTTGTTATAAATTAAGAAAAATTGGAGAAAAGTTTTTCATTAAAAATTTAATTTGCAAGAGAGACCTAACAAATGTTTATACGCACAAACTATAGAACAAATGTATCTTGTTTTAGGTTCTCCTCACTAATAAAATTTGTAATGGGAGACTTCTGCTAATTTTCCCTATAAATTAGCATGATTTAATTTAATATTAAAAATATCACATCAATAAAAACAAATAATTTATTTAAAAATTTGCAACCAAGAATTATTTAAAAATTAAACTTAGAAATATAAATAAAGTGACAAACCAATTACCTACTCCAATCCGAAATAAACAACCAATGAACCAATTACCAACTCAATTTTGAAATTGGCGAAAGAAGACGAATTAGAGAAGGTGCTTCAATTTATGAAAATTTTGAAATGAAAGTTTCCCCGAAATTCTGGAACCAAATACTTGGAACGTGTGTTCTGAGGGAACGAATATGAGCTGTACCTATCATTGGCAAAATAGATTTTTCCTAATATTTTACACACACACACAGATACAAACTCATATTACAAAATATAAGTATCAATTTTTTAAAGAAATTTAGTTTTTTTAATCAATATTCTCTCGACTTCAAAATATAAGCTAAACTTTATCTGTTTATGTTGAGTAAAAAACTAATTAAAATTAGTTTAAAACAATAAATATGTAAGGCATATTTTTTTTCAAATATACCTTTATTAATAAAGAGAATAAGTAAAAGATATAATAAATTAATCAAAGAGAAAAGAGAATATATGTGAGTAAAATTAGAATTTTTTTATTAAATGCTTAAATAAAAATGAATATTGTCTTATGAAAAAAAAAAACCCTTCAATAAAGTTTAGCTTATATTTTAAATCAGAGAGAGTATTACTTTGAATTTGTCTAATTAATTATTGATACTTATATTTTGAACCAATTTATTGACAAAAACTTCAATTAAATCAAGAATATTCAATACCAAAAATAAGACATATAAATTTTTTGTATAGAGTATTATTTATTTTATAACTAACTCTTGTTCATAATATTGACATTTAAAATTTTATATAATTATCTTGTTCATAATAAAATTTTTTATACTTATCCAGTCTTTAATATAAGACTTAATTATTGAGTTAATTTTAGTTCTAAATATAAAACTTATTTATCATATTTATTAATTTTTTTAAATTATTCCTATTAATACTTTCTTAACTATAATTAAGTAGAAGAAGGAGATGGGATATCAAGTAAGATGATTATGGTATTTAAAAAAATTATATTTTTTATAATTAACTAATTCACTTAACTTTTTTAATCTAATTAAATTAGTTAAATAAGTTTTATATTAAGAACCGAAAAAGTATTACTTATTTATTGAATTTATTTATTTTTTGTAAAAAGAATATCTTTTTCTTTTTTTTTTCTCCGTAGCCAGACGTCAGCCTCTAGCCGCGAATCCGCAAGTTCTAGCCACAGAACGCAAACCGCTCCCGCGCACATTAGCCGCCACTCGTTATCTCTGCTAAGCTACGCTCATCCATCTCCTGCTGTCTCTGTTTCCACTTGCTTGTTCCTCTAGAAGAAGCCTTACTCTCTCCCTCTTTCTCTCTCACCAATCCTATTACGCTTCTTTCGTCGTTAATTTTGCTGACCGATGAAATTGTCCTCTTTGTAGCTTCCTGCTATGGCGTCGTTACAAATCCTGAAACTCACACTCTCTTCGGTTTCCGTTTCTCAATCGAATTGTCCGAGAAAATCGACATGGACTTCCCGGGAGCCGTATTTCCGGGAAAGGATGATCAAGGTGCGAACTTTCGGCGGTTCGAATTCTTGCAGAAGGTTTAGGATCAGCTGTAAAGCTCAAGACACCGACAACCAAAGCAATGGCAAGATTTTGTTTTCTTCTTTTTATTTATCTACTTTTAAAGTCCGCCGCATCTTAGTAATGGTCTCTTCTTCTCCGTTTTGTTTCCTTTTAAGGCGAAATTGATGGTTCCTTGTTTACACAAGTAAAATCCGTTGTTGATGTTCGTTCCTAAAAATAGCAATGAAGTTACTGTCCTTCTGACTTCTGTTTTTCTGAGTGTAATTGTCATATTCATTCTGTTTCAGACCTAACAATCCGTAGAGATGACCGTGGCTTTGACTTTATTTGCCGCATATTCAACTGACTCATTATACTAGAATTCTGCATTTAAACAGTATGCCTTATACTTTTTCCTTGAAAATAATGTTAGAATTTTCTTATTACTTGTATTTTAAAAGCAAAAATATTGGCCATTGTTGGATAATTATTGATATTTCCTTGTTTGGCCATTTATATATTACTTGGTACGGAAAACTTAATTCTATTATTTATTGGTTAGATGGGCAGACATAGTGTAAAAGAAACTGATATTGTAGATCATTGTGAGGACATTTCATGATTTAAACATTTTCATGAGTAAGATTTAGCCTTTGAAACTTCACTACTTGAAGATTTAGAAAGGAAGTTAGGCAAGAAATGAATTTTAACTGTCTCATGAAACATGAGATGAAACTTTCTGATGCTCCATTCAGGGCTTCAACCTGCAAGCTGAAGGAAAGACGCGGCCTTATTATTTTCTTCTCTGTATATTTTTGTATGATATTGTGCGTGCCAACCATTAAGTGCCTGTTTGGATAGCCCAAAATGTGGTTTCTTGAAAATTTATTCTCACACCCTTATTTTGATTGAAGTAATTATGGGACCCTCAACCTAAAACTCATATTTTGATTAATTCGACTATGAGACCCTCAACCATGTTATCTCATAAGTAGCTCTCACATGCTTTTGCGTTTTGGTTAAACCAATTCCGCCAAAATCATGCTTATAAGTGAATTTTATCCAAACTCTATTTTACCCTATGCTAATCCAAACGCATTCTAAGAAAAGGTCTTTTACATATGTGTAGCAGCTTTGCCCTTCCCTTATTTAGGTATTTCCATGTAAATTCTGTGTGGGAGCTGTCTGAGGAGGATTACAGTTTTTAAAACTTGGAAGTTTGTATATTCCTTACCTTTGTTGGGGATAGGGGTGGCTGGCAGTGAGCAGAAATTGTTGTTAGTTGATTTCCGTTTCCTTCTTCTATAGCTCCTTATACATTCGATGCCATTTCTAATTTGCATTTATAATCCAATGCGATGCTGCTGCTAAATTGGTCTATGGAAGCTGTGCAGCACTGACTCAAGAGGTTATCTGATTTTAGTTTAATGTGAAATGTGTTTGAGACTTGAGAAGATATTGTTTACCAAAGTGAGTAGCAGAGCAAACTTGAGTGACCTGCAAAATTTTCAGATTGATATTATTTTTAACTGAATATATGACGACTTTGCTTTTGTCTTCTAAATGATTTGATATTTGTCATGTTAAATCTGAAAGACGTGATCCAGCTTTTATCTATAATAATTGTTGAACTTGGTTACGTTTTTGTTTATTAATCAATATTGATACAGTTTGACTGACTAAAATTTTATCCATGAACCCCTTTCTTTACCTAAGGATAAGAAGTCAAAAGAATTTATATTTGCACATATGAATTATGATCACTTGTTTCTGTGTCAAGGTGGAGAGGTTGGCAACTAGCAAATAAAATATAATAGTTTATATTTGTCATAAGTTATTCGGTTGCTTGGGTCTTTGCAGTTCTATTGGGTTAATAACAGAGCAACACTTTTTTAGCATAAATGCAAAAAGATCAACAAATGTGAAGATACAAGCATAATAGAAAACTTTATAAATTTTCAGTCTTGCTGACATAATTTTGCATGGATGTTTTGTGTTTGTTGCATGTTAGAACGAAAGATATTGAGGTCATGCTAGGACCTAGGTAGGAAACATGAGGCTTTATACTTTCTACTTGTTTTTCATTTTACTTCACAAAAAAAAAAAAAGGGCTCTGCTAGTTCTTAAATCGCATTATAAGATAAGATGAATCATCTTCCCCCCCCCCCCCCGGGGCCTTGTAATGAATAAGATGATGATGAACAAATATTGTTTGTGCCATTTAGAAGTATAATGTTTACAAGCGTCAGCAACAGCAGCTTCTATACTGTTACCAATTTCAGATAATTTATTTGGTATGTCACTTTACATATAGATATATTTCTTTAGCGTGCCTGCTTAGGCAGTGTTTGGTATTATATATACATATATTTTTTTTAAAAAAATTTTGCTGCAATAGTTTGCCATTTACTGGGTCCATTTTGGTCCTTAATAGTCTCAAGATTTTTTTTTTTCCAAAAACAAAAAATTCATGCAGAGAAGATATATTCCTCAATCCATTCAGGTCACAGGACTTCCATAAAGAAGATAGAACATTCTTAAGAGAGAAATTTGCTTAACGGAGGAATTTCTTTGATAAACTTCCAGGCGACCCTTGGGCTGTGAGGCATGCTTATGACAAGGCCGAAGTCAATGCTGTAGTTAAATTTTACATAATGTCAATCCAACTGATTTTTATTTTTATTTTTATTTTTATTTTGCATGCATTCAACAGTCTGGTTTGGTTATGTGATTGTTTTCCTTTAAGTAATCATGGAGCCGTGGATCAATGTCATCTATCTGAGATATCATTTCAGAAAAACTATTCTGGAGACAGTGGCCGCCCTCTTTTTTATCCCTCAGCAAATTGCTAGTCGTAGAGAACATCAAGTGATTAACACTAACTACTTTTTTGGCTATCTTCTGATGTATTTTCAGGTGAAGAACCCACAGAGTCATTATTTATGAAGGAACTAAAGAAGAGAGGAATGACTCCTACTTCATTGCTTGAAGATTATAAGCAAGGTGACTATGAAATGGATGAGGAGATGAATATGAATGGAGAAGATAGAGGTTTTCCTAAAAGAAATGCTGTCTCTACCAATGTTGAGAGGAGCCTAGACAATCAAAGGGAGCGATCTATGGCACTGAACAGCGAAGGTCTTGAGGTTGTTGCATTATCTGACATTTTTTCAACAATATATTTATTGAATATCACTAATATTGTTTCAAAGATTTTGGTGCCTGTAGTGTAGATTGTGTCACTTACATCTTTATCCATTACAGGGGCTGATACCTCGGGCTAAACTTTTGTTGTCTCTTGGAGGGACATTTTTCCTGGCATTTTGGCCACTGATTCTCATAATCATTGTGGCTTTTTCTGCTCTCTACCTTGTAAGCTCTCTTTCTGTCCCTTTGTCAAATTATATGCATTTAATTGTTTGGATTATCGAAGTGCTGAAGTTTGTGATCCATGCTGCATTGTTTCTTCCTCCCAATGGTTTCATTAATTTAATTATAGACAAAACATGACGTGACAGTGTGAAGCATTTTGTACCCTCCAGCCTTGTCGAGAACTGGAAACCTCTAATGAAATATATGTTCTTCTTTTGTGGCATGTTCATAGACTGGCCATTACTTTTAGTTTCCTCAACCTTCACTATCATCTAAGAAATATATCAAATGTGCAGTTATCATAACGCTCAGATGTAAAACTTGTCCCCACTGCACACACGCATGTGTCCATGCACGTATTTTATTTTTTTTATTTGTTTATTTTTGAAAATCCTGCCAGCAATTTGATAGGGACCCTCGATTCTATATCTACAGTAGAAAGAAGAGAGCAAGGATAGAGGAGAGCAGTGGGAGAGTGGGAAACCGGTCATGGAGAAGGTGTCAGGGTAGGGAAGTCAACTCGTAGCCCATGACCATGTGGATAGGATTAGTTACGGAGTAGCTTTTATCCTGTTCTGTTCCTTTCACTTTTAGTGGTTATATAGCAGTTTTAGAGTCAGTAATCTATCTACTATTATAATTAGAAGGACTAAAGATGCAGTTGGTGTCTTATATTTTGAATTATCTATGTACTGGATGTTCTCCCCTAACCTGTTGAAGAAATTAATGTTTCCAGATTCTGGCATTGTTTTCTTCAGTTGAATTTCTATTTGATTGCTCTTTAGATTTCAGTATCTATCATAATGCTAAAGGAGGTGATCAAATGATTAAATCAGTTCTTCGTGTAATTTATTTTGAACTATTGTAACCTTTGATGTTCAAAGAGCTGGATTTGATTCTATTGTTTTTATGTGGCAGTACTTTGGACCGAGTTTTGTACATGATGCTTCCAAGATGCCTCCCTCACCTCCGCAATATGTGGATCCTTATGCCCTTCTGGAAGATGAAAGAATATCTCAGATGGCGCCTAGTCTCAATTGAAAGGCAAGAATTTACATACGTAAGATTGTAGTTACATATGTCTCATTTCAGCTCTCTTTCCATCTGTATATGTCTCCTTTGTAAAATATCACCCTGGAAGAACTTGTGTAGTTATTGCTTTGATGCTCATTTTTATTCACTTCAAATCTCACTGTCTCTCCAAGCTTGTGGGCTTACATAACATAAAGTTTTTTTATTTAAATCTTTAAGGCATAATAAGAATGACCAGAATAATTTCAAATCGATCTAGAAGTTCTAAGCTTAATCCGTAATTCCATATGGTTATAGGGACTTAATTTTTTGAAATTGACTGTTATAACACCTTTTTTCCTTCCGAAGAAATTGTTGATGTACGGCAACTGTATAAGAATTTGTAAAATTACAGTTTGGACACGTAGATTGGGGGTTTTCCCTCATCCTTACAATTCAAAGCCCAAGTAAAAATTCGTTTCATAAATTTAAGCTCAAGTTCAAAAGTTTTCTGGTGTCTGATTTGACTTCCAATCATATGCGTTGGCAAAATGATTATATCCAATAAATTTGGTAGATATAAAATGAAAAATAATATACAATAAAACAAACTCAACGAGGGGCTTTAACAATCTACATAGTAAAAAGCTTAACTCAGGATGATGACGGTTTATGGATATGATTCACCCCACTTGCTTACAAAAGGGCCAATAAACTATCACACGAAGGTTTCATTGCAGCTTAAAAGCTATCTGAAGAATTCCTAATCCTTTGTCTGTGTTTTTAGACTGTGAAGTTAGTTCATTTCTGTGCTCTATGAAAACCCAATAGCACTAGGAAATGGACTGAAAAGGCTTATAAGCTTTCAGGTCTTTTATAATACCTTCAATGGATCCAGCTGCTGCAACTATAGTGACAATAAGACAGACCACACTTAGCACTTTAAGCACCATCCATGGTGCAGAAAACTTGGGCATTTTTCTCTGTGAAATGTACATTTCTACAGGAAAATACACAGTCAAGGGCCAGAAAGAAAATGCTCCAAGTAGACCCAATATGCTGTTGAAGAAAGGCAGCATCATGGCGATCACAGTTGTAAATATCACGTACAGGGTCCTCCATATCACCCGAAACTGATTCACTTTGTAAAGTCCACACATTGGAATGCCAATTGAGTATTCTTTTGTGGCAAAATCGCTTTCTGGCCATCTATTGCTGCACCAATCTTCCACAATACTGAAAACAGGTTGGCAGAACACCTGCGCACAAATTATACTGTTAAGGTTCTCTGTTTTGTTAACAGCTGAGGAGAAAGCAAGATGATTGAACTAATGGTAGTTGGGTCCAATGGGAAGAACGCAATTCTTTCTAGTAAGGTTAATGATTCGAATTTGATGAATGAATAAGAAAATTATGTTTGGAGAGTTAGTCTCAATTTGGCCGAACAATCATCAAATTTAATCCAGTAATAGTGACCTGGTAAGCACCCACGAGATGAACAACAACAAAGGTGTTTCCAACGTCGACCATCCAAAACGGCTCATAAAAGCCAAATCCAGTAAGAATGTTTCCAGGTGCACTGTTCCCAAATGCTGCATATCCCAATATCCCACAAGACAGATAAAACAGGCTGGTGATTGAAACTCCAACTGAGACTGCCTTCTTCATCTCTTGATTTTCTGGTGCGCTTGATTTTAACGTGTCCTGCTCAAGCAAAAATACAAAATAAATACTGAAATTAAACTTCGCGCGCGTGTCTCTCTCTCTCTCTCTTATGTAAGAAGTTTCTGGGTTAGAATGCAATGCGTGAATGAACTTAATTAGCTTGCCTGTATCTCAACAATGACAACGGAGAAGGCATAAGCAAAGGCAATGTTTCCAAGTGCTTGAAATGTGTTCCATATCTTCTCACTACTGGTGACATCCACACCAATTACTGTCCCAGACAAGCCGGTCTTCACATGCTTTCCTCCTTCAAGTTCCAAAATTGGATCAGTAAATTAAGTAATCATATAATCTTTTTATATTTCGAAATAGCAGTAATATTCAGCGAAGGATTTGAGATTGTTGAACTACGGACTTTGATCCATTCTTGATGGGCTAGCCTATTTGATTAGGGAGTAGAGAATCTTCCTTGCCAAATGTTTCCCAGTCAAACACGGTATGAAATCAATATTAATTTCTATGAGAGAATTAGGGAACAAGAATCCTCATTGCAGGCAAGCAAAAAATCCTCCTGCAATAACTTGCTCATCACCCAAACCATGGAGTTTTCCAATTATCACTCTTTTTTTCTCTTATTTTTCTTCCTGATGTATCTATTGTGCCACTCCCATTTAGGCACTTGTTGTCTAAATCCAGTGTGTGCAATCAGAGCTTCGGCCCTAATCTGACATGGTACGTATTCTTACTCTTACATTTAATTTTTCTTCATGTGCTTGATGATCTTGAGCAATACACATATATTACAGCTACAGGAACATCACACCTCTAACGCCAATGAAAGAAATTTGAATATACGAGTAAGAATAGGTACAGGGTCAAATGAAGGTCGACCAATTGCATATGCAAGAATTAGATTTACACTATAAGAGCCTAAATGATATTGGCAAATCCGATGCACCAAAAAGAAAAATAAGGGAAAAAAAAAGAGAGGGATAACCAAAAAACGCAACTGCTAGTGAGGGACACGTTTATTTATAAGATTAGGTGACCACTATTTAGGAAGGTGTTATCTTTCCCATTTAGTGCAGGAGGATTCTTTGCTTGCTCTTCAATTAATAATCAGGAAATTAATGTCGACTAATTTTTCTATTTAGTTACTTTTTTAATTCTCTAATTCTTTGGTTAAGAATTAATGCTGATTTAGTGGGAAACATTTGACTGGAGAAATTCTTTATTCCCAAACCAAATACTCCAACCCATCATGGAGTCATATCATGCCGACTGCTACACGATTCAATCCTATACCAAATAAATAAACTAGATAGTCTCTCACTGAATTTGAATTCTAAGTTAAAAGTGAAGTAAATGCAAAACTAACCTGCAACCTTGGCAATGGAAAGACCAACAGCAATGAAGGCATAACCAACAGACATGAGAGCAGCGAGAAGAGAGAGCCACGAAAGTTTATGAAATTTTGGGATTTGGCTTAATATGATCTCCACAATCCCAAATATTATCATATATCCGTTGTTTGACGAATGACACCCCACTTCATGTCCCTCCTTATGGAAGCAACTTGATCTTCTTACCGCCCTGTTTCACACACCCAATCAATATTCACTCATAACCACAAAAAACACATACTATCTTCGATCCTTATTATAAGATCTCGTTTGTAAACTACAAACAATGTCTTATAATTAGGACCAGAAGTAGTACTTCATATCCAAGTCACTTCTAGAAAAATAGCTTGGTTCAGAATAAGTCGTTTAGAGAGTAATTAATACTTATTTGGCAATTCTGTCCCCGTAGTTAATGTGTGAAAAGGGATAATCAAAGAGGCTAGAAATCTTACGCCATGCTAATGGATGCAGTAATAGTATATCCGATTGTTATCCCCACAAGATTTACATACTGTGCCACCCCACACAGCAAGTATTTCATGCCCCCTGCCAACAAATACACATTGAACATTACATCATTTATATTATATACTACTTCCGGTCCTTGATATAAAACCTAGTTGACAAATTTGGAAAACTTAAGAAAGTTATCAAATTATTTATTTATATAATTTGTTATATAATCTCTCTAAAATGCTTATATGTATTATTAGATTATATAATATCAATTGATAAGTGAGACAAATTAGTTGGAAAAAAAATGATAAATATAAATACTTTAAAGTAATTTAGTAATTTCCTTAAGGGCTTATATCGAGAATGGGAGGTAATGGGTGTGTGTGTATATAAAAGGTAATAATAAGTAAATATACACCGACCATATAAATAAAACATGCCATAAAATTTAGGTTTATATGTATTTGTGAGCACCAAGATTGGTCTTGACGATCTGAGTGTAGGTGTAGTTTCTTGTCCCATCAGGGGATCTGTAGCATTCAGTGAGCAAGCAGGAAGTGAAGAGAGTGACAAGGGAGAAGATGGAGAGGGCAATGGGCCCAGCAACCCAACCCAATTGGGCCATGGCCCAACCCAATGATAGGACGCCCGACCCAATCACAGCCGTCACTATGTGTGCACTTGCAGTGAACCAAGTTCCTGAACCCACCACCATCATACCATCCAATAATACAGTCAAAATCTTGTTAATGACTTGAAAAAAAAAGAAAAAGAGAAGAGTCTTAGGAGTGATGGAGATCATATATTTCAAGTTCAGAGAAACTAAGAAGATTCATACCTGTTCGTTTCAGTTTACCGTCATCATCAAATTCAGAGTCAAACCCTCCATTCTGTATCGAGAAGCTTAGGTTTCTCTGCAACTCCATAGCCATCTCAGAGGCAAGCCTAAGAAGAAGAAGAAGAAGAAGATGGTGAAGATGGTTAGGGAAGCAAGGCGGGTATAGCAGTAAGTACTTATATAGGGAAAGAGGAGAGAAATTTGAAGGTCTAGTTATGGAAATATTTCAAACCCAGAAATCCAAAATTGATTAGTGACGCTATGAATAAAAATTATGCTGTCAAAATGACTGGCATGGGAAGCATGAATATTTTACCAATGATGCGTTGGGACTACACAATTTTGACTTTCCAGTTACGATGGTCAATAAATGTCTTGACCTGTGGCCGCAAAACATGCATTCAATGTTCTGCCCCTTCCTTTTAAAAACAAAGGAAAAAAAATGTTTGCTTTACGAAAATAAGGAAAATTGGCTGATTGCCCCCTCCAATCTTTATTATAGATTTCATATAACTAATTTGTAGATAATGAATAATTAGTTCAAATTTATTGAAAGCAATAAATAGGTTATAAATATACTTTTGTTTTTAAATGTCTTTATAACAAATGAGAAAAATGATGAAAGATAATGTGTGAAAAAATACGATGAAAGAGATTATGGTAAAAAAGAAAAAAATAAATAAGTAAGGGCATGATTGAAAAAAATACATTAAATATTAAGACAAAATCAAATTAAAACTTATAAAAACACTTTTTAAAAAAAAAAATTTAAAGCTTGTAAATATAATCGGAGAAAGTATTTAGGTTTTCAAGCCGTTGCCACTCTTTTCCTCTTTTTTAGCTATGTGCAAATATTTTTTCATTTGCATTTAGTCAAAAGATAGTTTGTACATAATTAAAAAGGAGCTTTAAAAGTAGCTGCATTCACTGAAAATATTTTGTACATCAGTCTTTCAACAAATTTCAAAGAAAGACAGAAATAAAAATTCCACTCAACTCAACCGTCTCTGATTAGGTGAAATCTCATAAATTCCATCTTTTAAATCCTTTAAAGAAAATTATATGCATTAATATTTAAAGTAAAAAAATATTTATATTAAAAAAAATTAATTCTGAAGTTATTTTAAATGGTCCTAAGATCAAAAATAAAGCAACTCCCTCCATTTCAGAAGTACTCGTGTTACTTTTTCCTTACAGTTGTACTCCTGCTGACTTAATAACAAGGAAAACAGAATATATAAGAGATACTATCTCCGGTTCAAAACAGGAGAGCTAGAAAGATATTACTTTAATCCTAATATAAGATATTAATTTATTTTATCTCTAAAATTTATAATTTCTTTTCTAAAAAATATAGCAAGGGAGTTCTTATCAGAAGATGGTTATAATGCAAATAATTAGAAAGAGTATTTTAGAAAAATCAACTCATTTGTTAAAAAGAATTAACTTAACTAATTTTTTAAATATTCAAAAATTAATTATCTTGCTCTTATATAAAAACTAAAGTTAAAGAATTAATATAAGACTACTTCAACCGAATGTAGTTATATTTTTGAATAGTTTTGTTTGATAAAAAAAGAAAAAAGATTGCGTCAAGAAGAGTCAAGAAGTAAGAAAATCAAGAACATGTGAAATAAGGTCAATTAAAATTAGGAGCTGCTGAAATGGCATTTAGAAAGGACACTTGTCATCATCACCAATTATCAAACACTCGCCCAAGCAACTACCCAATCATCCCACAACATGTTTGTTTTACAGGAATAATTGAACGTGGAAAAGAAATAAGTGCACGATCCATTAACACCCATATTCATGTTTGGTATGGTTGAAATGTTTTCCTTTTGCCATTTCTTTTCCCTTAAATTAAAGCTTTGGTAAAAGCATTCCATCCGTGAACCCAAGAAATAGTGAATAATGGTTTTAAAAAAAAAATAGAAGTCTAATTTTGATTCCCATAAAAATGGTATGAATATGATTTCCCAAGGATAATGATGGTAGATTGCAGTTCGCATATAGACACCTTTTTAATGTAATTTTACTCCTAACAATGAGCTTTTTTTTGTTTTTTGGTCTTTTCACAATACAAATTTACGAAAAATAAGTATTCCTATATCTTCTTCATCGTACTAAACATATTTTTTAAGTTTTTTTACAAGTTCAACCTCGTCCATATATAATTTCCTTATAATGTCCTTCAATACAATTTCCTTATCCACAATTACAGCATTTTTATTTGCAGTTTGGGAAAATTATGATAAAGAATCCAATCGCACCTCCAGTGACTATCACAGAGTTCATGCAGACTGGTCGATATTCTTTTATCGTCATATAAATTTTTCTCGCCACCATCCAAAAATATAAGCGCTGATTTGTTCATTTGTTTGTGTTCATTTAGTTAACCTGTTTGCCCTCTTTTGTCCAGTTACGGTACAGACGTTCTTAGTGCATCCATTGATATTTTACGATTAAATTAATCACGCATCCGAAAATCCAAGGAGATTAGTCAAATACAAGCTGAAATTAATGCGAACATAGCATGGCATCCGATTGCAAGTTTCAATCATGTGCGCTTACAATACCAGACATTCACGGTTAAAAATAAAATTCATCCATGATAACAGAGACACAAAGGTACTGGACAGCAAATTCAACAAACAGAAAACATCAAGGGCTTCTAGTACTCATCTCCTTCGTCATCCTCGCCCTCAGCAGACTCAGCGCCCACTTCCTCGTAATCCTTTTCAAGGGCAGCAAGATCCTCACGAGCTTCAGAGAATTCTCCTTCCTCCATACCCTCACCCACATACCAGTGAACGAAAGCTCTCTTGGCATACATGAGATCAAACTTGTGGTCAATCCGAGAGAACACTTCAGCAACACTGGTGGAGTTGGAAATCATGCACACTGCCCTCTGAACTTTAGCAAGATCACCTCCTGGAACAACAGTAGGTGGTTGGTAGTTGATACCACACTTGAAACCAGTTGGGCACCAGTCAACAAACTGGATGGTCCTCTTGGTCTTGATGGTGGCGACAGCAGCATTCACATCCTTGGGCACAACATCTCCACGGTACATCAAACAGCATGCCATGTACTTACCATGGCGAGGATCACATTTGGCCATCATAGATGAAGGCTCAAATGCACTGTTGGTAATTTCAGCAACAGAGAGTTGCTCATGGTAAGCCTTCTCAGCTGAGATAACTGGTGCATAAGAGGAAAGCATGAAGTGGATTCTGGGGTAAGGGACCAGGTTGGTCTGGAACTCAGTGACATCCACGTTCAGGGCACCGTCGAACCTCAAAGAGGCAGTCAAAGAGGAAATAACCTGAACAAATCCAACAAAACGATGTTAAGACTTAAAACACAATATCTCAGGATTCACAAAAATTACCCATTCGCCAATTTCGTTTGATATACCTGAGAAACGAGACGGTTGAGGTTGGTGTAGGTGGGACGCTCAATATCAAGGGAGCGCCTGCAGATATCGTAAATAGCCTCATTGTCCAGAAGAACAGCCACATCAGTGTGCTCCAAGAGAGAATGGGTGGAGAGGACACTGTTGTAGGGTTCAACAACAGAGGTGGATACTTGAGGTGAAGGGTAGACTGTGAACCCAAGCTTAGACTTCTTTCCATAATCAACAGACAAACGTTCCAGAAGAAGGGAACCAAGACCAGAGCCAGTGCCTCCACCTACGGCATTGAAGACCAAGAACCCTTGAAGACCAGTGCAGTTGTCAGCAAGTTTTCTGATGCGGTCCAAGCACAGATCAACGATCTCTTTCCCAACTGCGAGAAAGTATTAAACATTAATAAACTGGGCAAGACAATACGAATACGCACGCTAACAAACAAGAACAAGAGATTGAACTTAGATATGATCACTTACTGGTGTAATGACCACGGGCAAAGTTGTTGGCAGCATCCTCTTTCCCGCTGATCAACTGCTCAGGGTGGAAGAGCTGGCGGTAAGTTCCAGTCCTTACCTCGTCAATGACAGTCGGCTCAAGATCTACGAAAACAGCACGAGGAACATGCTTTCCAGCACCAGTCTCGCTAAAGAAGGTGTTGAAAGCATCATCACCACCCCCCACGGTCTTGTCACTGGGCATTTGGCCATCAGGCTGTAGAATGGATACAGATATTTGAGTTAAAATTAACAAGAAGCATCCGGAGAGAGACCGGGGAGCTCAACTAATTATAGGTACCAGCCGATTAGGACATAAAGCAAATGAGAGTGCAGATCAGATAATTTTAAGGACATTTGATTATGAAATTACAAATTAGAAGAGGAGCAACGATAGAGAAACGGGTAAAAACTCCAGCATAATGATTCAAAAATCTCAGATCTGAAAACTCAAAAAATTTTCGACACCAGCCGTACGAAAAGACAGACACGAGCCAAAAACCGCAGCACTACGATTCAAAAATCTCAGATCTGGAAACCCAGAAAATTTTCGACACAAGCTGTGCCAAAACTAAAAGCTAGATCCAACGAAGTTCCGGATCTAAAGCAATACTATGATAATTGACGACTATCAATCCCCAGATCTGAGAACTGAAACGATTCACAACACAAACCGTAGAAGAAATCCAAAGAACGCTAGAATTCAGATCCAGAGAGAAAATCAAACAAAAACGGAAGAGAAAATTTAGATCCGACCATTACGAAACATATATTAACAGGTAAAGAAAAAAAAGATACGCACCCCGATTCCATGCTCAAGACAATAGAGCTCCCAGCAGGCATTTCCGACCTGAATACCGGCCTGACCAATGTGGATTGAAATGCACTCTCTCATTGTCGCTGAATACAGGAAATGAAACGAGAATTGGAGAAGGGAAGAGAATCAGAGAACAGGAATCGCAGATAAGACAGAGAACGAAGGCGTTTATCAAGACGCCTTCTTCTGAAACCCTTTGGATGGAGGAGAGAGGGAGAGATATAGATGGTATTTATAGGAGGATGAGGGAGATATTTAAATTTTGAAATCACGGAGATGCGCTGTCGTGTTCCATACCAACGGACGGCAGGAAGTGAATGAGTTGGCCAACACCCGTTGGCGTTTGGTCAGGATAACCGCCCTGGTAA